GTCTCACTGACACGCCCCTTAACCGCCGTGAACAAGACTTCACCCTACCTGATAGGTGAAATTCCTTTCTTAAAGGAAGCTCAAACACGCAGTTGCCGTACCTCTTTTACCACACGAAAAAGCGTGGGAGAGGCGCAAGAGAGCGCCAAGCCGTTTACGTTGGTAAAAACCCGGCGAGGTTCAGATTCTTATAAATGTACGCCTACTGTGCGGCATTTCTGGACCTTGCTCTATGCGCAGCCATGTGTGCTCTTGCTCGTGGTTGCATGGTTTCTTGCCTGCACCGCTGGACATGGTTGTGTTTCAGCTCTCCTCGTATTCGTTTGATGGTAAAAGCGAGCCGGGGCTTATTTCGGGCGTTTCCTATGATTTCTTCTGCTCTTTTATTTTTTGGGTCAGCTAGATTAGCGCTGCGTTCATATTTTGCAGCTGAGAACATTCGCTGTTTTGATAAACTCGGTGTTTCGAGTGGTTGCGCGACGAGAAATGGTTACGTATCCATCTGGCCATTGGTGAGAATCGGTATCGGGCGGTAGCGCGCCAAGGAAATATATGGGTATCGCTCGGCGCCGCTAGCTAGCGATTGTAGGGCCGAGTCTCTGAACCTCCCAGGTCGCTAGCGACTGGCGCCGGATCGCCGAATCTCCGCGAAATGGTTAAGTATCCATCTGGCCATTGGTGAGAATCGGTATCGGGCGGTAGCGCACGGCTTCACCTATCAGGTAGGGTGAAGTCTTGTTCACGGCGGATAAGGGGCGTGTCAGTGAGACTAGGTTTGGCGTGCCCTCAGCTCGTTCTCCAGCTGTTGTTGAGGTCAAGCGACAACAGTCGGTGGAAACCGACTAATACGTACGCCATGATAGACTTGCCGCTGCTTGCTTCAGCAGCCGGTGAAAAATGGTTTCGCGCCGCGTCCCGCCAACCCCAACCCAACTGAAACGCCCCGTCATCCGCAGCGACCATGACTGTAGGTCACAGCTCGCCAGTAGAACAAGTCTTCTAACAAAACACTACCTGTCTTCCTGAGGTGCCTCCAAGCTACTGGATATTGAGCCAACTTCCTGTTGTTCTGCACCATCTTCCTCAAGATCAGAGGCATTATCAGGAGTGCGGTCGGACACAGCAGATCCAACTGAAACGGAATGTAAGCGTGAGCGTTCAATTCCGCCTCAAAAGGTCCTGACAGAAGATATGTAAACATACCATTGCTTCCTGTGTCAACAAAACGAGTTCTCTTCTGGGTCCCTCCTCTGGCATGTTTCTTTGATGCACCCGCAACTGCTAAACTTTCCATGTACTTGTCCTCTGGGATCAAGCCGACAGGATCACTGAACTCTTTATGTTAACAACTAGAGAAAAGGAGAAACAATACTGCTAAAGAACAGTGTAACAGTTTTGCATCAGAATGCGTGGGACATGCTTTCACTGTAAACCCTCATTGAAAAGCCTGCAACGGATAAGAAAACGCACGTTGGTGCCTCCATGTGAAACACAACCACTTCAAAGGACTCTTGCGGTAGACGAGGCACATTCGATGAAACATGTGAACGAGATGTGTTATGCGGTGGTGAAGTCGAGAGGGAGTTATGAACTAAAAGGGTAATTGCAGGAATTGCCGTAACACTCATTTTGTTACCATACAAGTACCTCACAAAATAAATACAATTCTCACGAAGATCCCTCACCGGTTTCTGTTGCTTCGAGCACAGAGACATGAATGACATCGCAAATTTAGCGGGAAGGGAACGCTGTGGAGGGCGCACTTGAGTGCTGACAGCAAGGTTCAGACAATGAAGCCCTTATCATATGGTTTGTTTCCCATCATAGGGGTTTACGTAAGGAGTCTATAGAATTAGTGGAATCGCTCAGCGAAGTCGATCCCTACAACCAGGTACGTCATACGTTAGGGATCCTCAACGAGGGATCGTATTTAGTCACTGGGGGAGCGAGACTATACTTGCCTTGGCAAAACGTTCCAGTTTGTTGACTTTTCTCGGTTTATTTTCTGGTTCAAACCACATACCATCCCGCCCCTCTCCCGCCTGACGGCAGTTTTTTGAGGGAAAAAGTAGATTTTTGGAATATAGGAAGACTGTAGGTGGGATGGAGGGACGGGAAGGGCGGTCGCACCAATGGAGAAACTAAGAGGGCCCCAATTCGCAAAAAAATTCCCCCAACCGCAGTACTTGCTCTGCCTACAACATGCCACAAACCGCCAAGGAAACGCTTTCTGACCAAAAAGATTCCCGTTTTTCAGTGAAGCGGCTGCGTGCCTCCCCGTAACCTCTGTGACCCTCAATTTTACAACTGAAGATTTCCATACCTTTATCAGCGAAATTCTTCATTTTGTTAGGCTTTGTCTGTGTGAGTGGATCACCAGGTAGTTCTGTTACAGCAGTCGTGGAAATTGTTGAAAACGATTTAGGAAGACGGATACGCAAGGCGTCCAGTTCGGTACGGAGGTCATTTGCTGATATATTTGACAAGGCATTCGAATGAAGAATTGACATCTAAAAATTATTCTCCGGACTATTCTAAGCTCTTGGGTGATACAATGAAACACAAGCAAAAGACCCACCACAGAGTTTACTTCAGCAACTGAACCCATGAAATAAGTGCGACGAAACAGCTCTCTTGACCTGTGCGACTCGCACAAAACAGGGGGAAAGAGTGAATCAAACGAACCCAATGAACGCGACAAAAGGGAGCCAACAATATCACAAATAGGACTCTGAAGAGTTCATAAGAGTAAAAAACGGCTTTCACAAAGAAAGCAGATAGCTCATAAAGGCTGCCATTGCTTACATCTTTGAATTGTGCAGCGAAGATATGGAAGTGAGGCTGTGGTGTTTCATAGCGGCTCAGCGCAAGAGTCTGGAATTCGGTAATCAAAGAAGAATTGAAAGTATGCGAAACCACGCAGCGAGATATCAGCGCATCTTACCGAATGGTATCGTAACTACTGCTGCGAGTAGCTTCATAATGGTGTAATTTATCACCCCATATATATAATTTGCTTCTTCTGTTTGTTTGTAAGTTTGTCTGTCCGGAAATTCGGTTCGACCTGAAGAACGACTTGGAGAGGTCGGGTCAAGGTGGGGATGGGTAGGGCATGGGACAAGAAATAAAAAGCACACTTGACCTATGGGAAGCCCCGCCCACAGTGGGCGGGGCACTCGCCGAAAGTTTGGGGTTCCGCAGAAAAATGTTCATAATTCGCTTCCGGAGCAG